TTCAAGTTGCTGCTCAAGGACAAGGCGAGGTTGGCCGCAAATTTGGAAGATCTCAAATTTTTGAAGCACAAGATGAACAGCCTTTACAAGAATGACCCTGTTTGGACCAAGAAGATTGAGGAGTTGGCCAATGCATGCGTCAGTTTGGATTCCTTCTTGGAGGATCTGAGGGCTCACCATGCCAATGGTTTGCCCAAGGATGCTGAGGCTGATTGCCTAGAGCTGGCCAAGTCCTTGGCTACAGTTCATATGCAGGCTCTTGCACATGACAAAGGAGGCAAGTCTATGATCAAGACTTTCAAGGCAGTCCTGGATCAGTGAGCATGGCGGCTGGAGGATATTCTCCTGTCAAGCCCCGGCTCGAGATCTCTGGATCCACCCTTGCGGCAAGCTGGAGAAACAGATGTTGTGTTGATTGCTTGCAGGCTGCGCTGACCTTGTGCAGCACGTTGCGTGTTAATAATTGGGAGCAAGCGCGCATGGCTTAAGCAAGACTATCAGACACAACTTTGGGATCTTTTAGGTCTTCTCTTCATGTAGACACCAAAATTCTGAACTTTGCATGTTTCGGTAAACAGAATGTTTTTCAAGAAACATGTTAGCTAGCGCAGTGCCAGGCTATGAGCAATAGCATGTAATTTGCAGTTGCCGGACATCCAATTCTGCCATGAGCTGATTTGGTGCCATGTACAACAAGAGGTCTTTGGCTTCAGAGGACATTGCAGACATTCCAGATGAGAAAAGGTTCAGGCATGACATGGTGGATGTTTTCCTGAACAATGAGCTGAGTAGCGCGAGATCAGCTCGACTGCTCCACAATGCTGCCAGGGCAGGGGCACGACATGTGCAGGATTTGCAAGTCAATCAGTCGGGCTCAAATGCCCAGAGGGACCTGCTCAGAAAATGTTTCAGAAATAGCAAGTGGCCATCAGTGTATGAATTTTCAGTGCCTGGGTGGAACCAAGCCAAGCAATGTGAGCAGCAACATCAATTGGCCATGCTGCTGCCCCACGAACTGTTGCATGCTTTCTTGAAATTAAATTCTGCGGAGACAATGTTGGCCAACCAGCGCAATGTATTGCCTGAGAGGCCTGACCTGCTATCTCATTTGGCGCAGTTGCAGCAAATGGGATTGAATCCTGATGAATTGCTTCTCACAGGCATTTGGTCTGATGGGGTGCCATTCAATTCAGACCGGTCTCAAACTTTGGAAGCAATTTCTCTCAACATCTTTGGTGACGATTCTGCCAGATTGCCTTTGACAGCTTTTCCAAAGGAATTTCTGCACAAGAAGAAGACTTTTGAATGCATCTTCGAGGTTTTGCAGTGGTCCTACAAGATTCTGTTAGGAGGTGTGTTCCCAAGCTGTAGACATGATGGGCAGCCATTCACGAACTCTGATAGCTATAGAAGAAAGTTGGCCCGCAAGAGCATTGGCATCAAAGCCTGCCTGGCTGAATTCAGAGCAGACTGGGCTTGCTACAAGGATGTCCTAGATTTCCCATCTTGGGCAAGTACAGGCTACATCTGCTGGCAGTGCAATGTGCCTAAAGCCGACCTCAAAAAGTTCGATAGCCACACCTTTGCCAAGTACCTATGGGCACATTCTAATTCAAGTAATTGTTTTTGTTTGAGGTATATATAGATAATTAAATCGCCCCCGAGCCTGTTTTTTCTGGAGGCCCTTGGGAGGATTTTGCTGAATTCAGCCCAAGTCAGGTATCCACTGATCCGCTCTTTGGATTTCTATATCAGGCAAAGGCAACAGAATAAGATGATCTCAAGATTATTCTCTTGCCCAGGCTTTAGCACAAGCTGCTGCAAAATGGATTGGCTGCATGCAGTGGATCTGGGCATCACAGCAGATTGGTTGGGATCTTTATTCTTTTACCTACAGAGTGAGAAGATCAGAGGTGTCAGCAAGTTGCTCCGATGCGCAAAGCTGTTCACAGATATTCAGGAGTATTACAACAGAGTACAAGCAACTGACAGATTGCCTAAGCTTCTGCCAACAATGCTCAGAGATGAAGACAAAGGCAAGGCTAAGGCGCCGAAGTTGAGGGCAAAAGCTGGGGAGGCTCGAGCACTTGTGCCTTGTGCTTTGGAGCTGGCCAGGAAATATTTAGATCCAGTCATATCACAAGAGGAGGCCATGCTACATGCTGCAGAAGCTTTGAATTCCATGTATACTTGCTTGAGCTCTGCTGCTTGGGACCAGGCTGTTTTCAGGGATGCTGCTCAAAGATATTTATTGCTGGCTGGGCAACTGGAGGCGTTCTTTGAAGAAGACAAGATATTCAGAGTAAAACCGAAAGCTCATCAGCTTGTCGAATTGGCCAGGCATGATGTCAATCCTAGTAAGATCTGGACATATCGGGACGAGAGCTATGGACACACCTTGGCGCTCCTGGGTAGGAGACGAGGAGGCAAATTTAGCATGCGTGCTGTTTCTTGCCAAGTCCTGAGGAGGTTTCTTGCAGCTAACAAGCTGCCTCGACTCCAAGCTCGACCTGCTGGCTGCAAAAAATGCTGTGCCATTGCACGGGATAGATCCCCGTCAAAACACAAGTGCATATGCATATGGATCTATATGGTGCATATAGAAAATTTCACATTGCTTAAATAAGCATTTTTTCTTTAAATTATAAACAATGCTTAATTAACAAAACATTGCTTAATAGTCATGGCATTTAAAGTTCTTAAATTAAATAAGCACTTTTGGAAGATCTGGGCGGGCTCTCGCGGCTCGCGCCGCTCCTTTTTCTTTTTTTTCCTCTCTCTTCTCTCGGAGGGAGTCTCGTTCTCGCGGTTGCTTCGCCGCTGCCGCTTTTTGTCCTTGCTGTTTTGTCGTCGCGGGGCTGCCCGCTCATGAAAACCCGACTCCTTGTCCCTTGCGGAGCTGCCCGCTTCGCACGAGGCATCAGCCTCCGCCTCCACTGCCTCCACGTGGCTGGCCGCAGCTGCTCCCTGAGCCTCTGCGGGGCTGCCCGCTTCAGGCGCCTCAGGCGGCGTAGCAGGCTCCGATGGCGGAGGCACCTCGGGCGGCGGCAGGGCCGGCTCAGGCTCTTCCTTTGCCTGCACCTCCGCCTGCTTGGGCTCGGCAGGGGCCGGGCTCTCGGCCTCGGCCTTCACCTCCACTGGCGGCGTGTGTCCGCTGGTGTCCGCTGGCGCTTCTTCAGCTGGCGGCTCGGCTGCGGCCGCGGCCAGCCACACCTGTGGCGTTGCAGGCGCGAGCTGCGCCGCTGCTTCACCTGGCTGCGGCTTTTGCGCTTGGACCCAGTGGCCCAGCGTCTCCCGAAACAGCAAATTGTCCGTTTGCGTTGCCGCGTCTGTGCGCTCAGGCTCAGGCGGCCTGTCCGGCTGCGACTCTTGCGGGCTTTCCGCGGCCGCGGGAGGTGGGGTTTCTTTTGCGGAGTCTTGCGGGGCTTCCGCTGCTGCTGAAGGAAGAGGCTGAGGCGAAGGCTCTGGCCGCTCTTGCTGCTGCGCCGCCGCCCTGCGGGATTGCCCGCGGGAAACACGCCTTGCCTTTGCCTCCGCGCTGCGGCGCTCGTGCCGCGAGCCTTCCAGCTTGCTCCATCCGCGGAAGTTGTCCCTTGAGCTCCACACCCAGCCCTTCGGCCAGTCTTGCTCCGCCTTGCGGCGCGGCTCTTCCCGCTGCCCCCGCGGCTGCCACGGTTCTTCCCGCCGCCGCGGCTCTTCCCTCTCTTCTTGCTCCGGCTCGCACATGTGTCGCCGGTACGCCGGGTCATCCCACTCCCACCCCCAGCGGCTCCTGTCGCCGCTGGGCTGCGGGGCTGCCGCTCGGTTAGGGGTCCTTGTCCTTGTCCTGGTCCTGGACCTGCTTGGCTCGGGCGAACTCTCTCCGTCGGCGTGCTCGTGGTAGCGCCGAGGGCGCGGGACGTCCAGCCAGTCCTGCGGGGTTTCCCGCTCTGCAGGGCGGGAGGAGCTCTTGTCGCGCCACCCGCCGCCGCGCCTTCGCGGCTCTGCTTCCTCCGCTTCTTCCTCCTCCGCTTCCCAGCGGCGGCTGCGGCGGTCATCCTCTTCCCAAGCCCAAGTCCTCCAGTCGTGCTTGTCCGAGTCCTCCGGCCGCCAGGACCACCAGTCGTCCTCCCTCCAGCCATCGTCCCGCCAGCCGGACCAGGTCTGCCATGAGTCCTGCTCCTGGTCGCGGGGCTCCCGCTGCGGCCGCGGCATGGCAGGCCGGCGGACTGCGCTTGTTTGGCGCGCTGCCTGTTTTGGCTGTCTGTGCTGCTGGGCTGCTGTTGCTGCTGTGTCTTTAGCTTTTTGCTGACTGACACGACTCGTGACAAACAGCGCGCCGCTAGCGGGCCATGCAGGTGAGCAAGAAACGACAGGCAAAATATCAAGTTATGGGTGGGGTCAAAAATGAAGTTACGAGGGTGGAATCGGGCGGGCCAAATGACCATGAAAGGGGGCCTTCAAAGGGGTCACCAAACTGACATGCAGTTACACGAGGGCAAACAATGTCAAAAAAAACAAGGCGTCCGAGCCCTCTTGCCGCTTGCCGGCTCGCCGCGCTGGCAGACCACGACTAGCAGCGAAAACTTTTCACGCTCCGCTACGAATCCGAAACGTGCGGCCAGCCAGCCCGCCGAGGCTTCGGCGCACTTCGCGCACGAAGGTGGCGCTGCCAGAAGCGCAACTCAAGGGATCCAAGGGCCGCAGTCTAGCTCAGTCAGCGCCAGCGCCATCGCTGCTCAGGGATGACACGGACGAGTCGGTGCTGCTGCTGCTGCTGCTGCTGCTGCTCCTGCTGCTGGGCGACTTTGCGCCGGCAGCGTCAGAGCCTGCGGGGCTGCCCGCTCTGCTGCGGGCGCTTGACGCTGCTTCTTCCGCGCCCCTCTCCCGCTTCCTTTTCCTTTGGCCTTTGGGCTGAGCCCCTGCCTTGGCCTTAGGCTTGGGCTTAGGCTTCGGAGCGGCCTTGCGCTTCGCCTTGCGCCTTTTGCTTTGGCGGCTGGCCGCGCTGGCCCTGCCTCTGCTGCGTCGCGCTCGAGCTCTGCAGCTTCTTCAGCGTCCAGCTCCTCGTCTGTGCGCGGCCTTGCTGCTGGTCGGCCTAAGTCGGACAGCTTCTGGTCAAGAAGCTCTTGCGGCAAAATGTCCGCGGCGCTGACGGCTGCGGACGTGTGGCGCCGCTTGCGGTCGTACAAAGTCGCCATCAAACACCAAGCCTGGAGCCTGCGCTTGGCAGCATCTTTACTATTCGCGGTGGCGCCCGCTTGCGTGGCCCTTGTGCAGCCTGTTGCCGAACTCAGGCGATGAAAAGGGCAGCTAGCTTGCCACTGTCCGTGCGGCGGCCGCTTGTCCGGGCCTGTGAAAGTGAGCCGGAAACAGCCCCACCAAAAGCTGTCTGGGTGTGTTTCTGCGGCAGCTCTCCGCGGGGCTGCCCGCTGACGGTCCTCCGCCTGGCCGGCATGGCCCTCCTGCGAAACTTCTCCAACTTCTGCCGCTGGAGGCTGCGGGGCTTCCGCTGCAGCACCGACGCCCTCAGCTTCCCCGTCCGGCTGGAAGGCTGCCTCGCTGCAGTCATCCACGAACCCTGCGCTGCTGCCGCTGCAGGACCCCGCATCGGACGCGTCTGGCTCCTGAGACTGAGACTGGCCTGCTGCCGCATCCTCCAAAAGAAGGAGCGCTCCCAGGGGGTCTGACTTCGGGCTGGCAGGCGCTGGAAGCAGCAAACACTGCGGCTGCTGCTGCTCCCCAAGCATGTGCTCGTCCACGTCGAGCTCCAAAGGGGCAGGAGACGCAGCCTGGTCAACGCGGTCTTCGATCCGCAAGGGCTGCTCTTCCGGCACTGCGCCGTTGTGACTGCGGCCCAGGATGGACAAGTAGTACTTTTCGCCTTGCCCGTGATGAACGGCCTCAAGAAAACCTTGCTCAAACAGCTCGCCTGAAACACACAGCGCTTGCATATACGCTCTCATCTTGGGGCCGCAGATGCTGATGTCGCGCGCGTAAAAGACTCGGCGAGCGGATCTGCGGGTGATTGGCGGCAAGGCCCGTCGCTTGGCTGCCTCTGAGGGGCCTCGCTGCACTTCCCAGCCGCTGTGCAGCAATATCTGAAGCAGCTCCCAGCTCGTTCTCTGGCTTATGTCCGCCAGCGGCAAAGCGGCAAGTTCTTCCGCGCCAAGGAAAACCTTCCGCGGCGTGTGCGCGACATGCATGTGCACCAAGCTGCCCGCTCCGTGGCAAGTGAGTCCCCAGAAAATGGCACTGCGCTGCTGCCCGCGCTGCTCAACCGCGCCTAACGCGCAAAGCTCTTGCGCGGCATTGCGCGCGGCTACGTCGGACGCATCAATGAGCAGACACTGCTCCAAACTACACTGCGGAAATGCCCGCTTCAGCACCAAGTCGCCAAGAAGCCGCGACACGCCCGCAGATATCGCTGACTGCCTCAGCCCGAAAACTAGCCTTCGCTCAGTCTCCCACTGTCGCATGGTTTGCTTCAAAGTCGCTGTGTTGTCGACGCGGTCTGGGCCGCTTGCGGCGTCTCCGCACAAAGACAAGACGCGCACCTGGTGCGAGATTCCGCAAGCTGCCTCCGGCTCTGCGCCCACACAAAGCTGCAGCTTCAGGCCCGCGTCGCCCGCGTCAGCATGGCCAGCAGACTCTACCGGCGCGCGCATGACCACGCCTTTGTGGAAAGCGACGCACAAGTCTGAAGAACTCAAGCGCGCGGTTTCCGCTGCGGGCAAGGGTATGGTTTTCCTCCTGCTTGGCTGGCTGTTCACGACCCGCAAGAAAACCACACTGTCCAGCCTGTCGCTAGGCACGCCAGCCTCCAAATCCGCAGGCGCTGCAGCCCCAGGCCCGGGCCCTGGCTGCGGCTCTGCCTTTTTGCGGGGCTGGGCCGCCAGCGCCAGCTCTGGCTCAGGCGCCGCTGTCGAAGCTGAGGACTCCACCGGGCCAAGCAGCATCTCTGGCTCAACATCCAGGCACAGCTCCATGGGCTGCGCAGCGGGTTTGTCGCAGATGGCATCCTGTTGAGGCGGAGCCAACGCCGCTGGCAAGGCGCAAGGCTGCTGCCGCTGCAGCGCATTTTTCAAGCTCTGGAACTGCAAAGAGTTGTGCGAAAAACTGTACAAAGAGCCCAAAGCCAGTCTCTCTTGCAAGTGGCGAGCAACAGCAAGGCGCTCTACGCTCTGCAAATTCCACCGTGGCTGCGCGCAGCGGCGGCCGCGGCCCTCAGGTCTATGGAGCTCCCACTCTCTCAACGCGGCTCTAACCCGCTTCTCTTTCTCCGCCTTTCTGCACAAACGCTTCTTCCGTGAAGCAGTCACCTTCTGGAACTGGGTGGCTGGGTCCATGGCGTACAGGATTGACGCTGCGAGGCTCAGTTTCACTCTTGCATCCCTTCTGGCAGCTACTCCTTGGGCCCACAGTGGGTGACTCCAGAAGCCCAGCCTCTTAGCCATGTCATCCGGATTCTGGACGCCTTCCCACGCGCGCAGAAATGTTTCCAGTTCCTGCGGGGAATTTGCGTCGAGGATCTTCCGAATTTCGTCAATGCGTAGGCGACAACTGACAAAGGGCGCGGTGATCTTGCCTCTGTGAGCCACCAGCTTCTTTGTAGTCGCGTGTTCCCGCTCCTGAATGCGCTCCACAACTGGAACAAACCGCAAGCTCTGCACAAACGGACCCAGCGTAGGCAAAGATTGCAAATCCGCGCCCTCCGCAAAGTCAGACAGCTCCTTCCTGCCCGCTGTCCCAGGCTGCAAAAAATGCAGTGTGAGTCTGTGGTGCAACTCAGCGGCGGAAGCCCCGCTAGCAGCCTGCTTATCGAACTTTTCGATCGCATCCCGCGCAATCTGTCTAGCAGCTTCTGTGTTGCGGCTAAGAGCGGCAAATTTCCACGGCAAACAATCCCAGCACTGCAGCTTCTGCCGAAGGTGCTCAACCATTGTGACTTTGCCGCGGGCGAAATCTGTCAAAGCGGCCTGAATCTGCTCTTCGTCAGTGCAGTAGTTGCCTTCCAAAATTTCCATCAGATAGCCCTCACCCCAAGAGTCAATCCGCTGCCACAACTCCCCGCTCGCCAGCTCCACGGCTCTTTGCCCGGACATTGGACAGGGCTTGCCCCCGTCCTCGGCGGCGGGGTACCCCATTTCTTTCGGCGGGTGTGCTGCTGCGCGGGGCTTCCCGCTGCGCCTGCGAGAGGAGAGGCGCACCCTGGCTGCAGGAGCCAAGGGTGGCAAGAACAACCCTCAGCCCAAGCGGTCAAGTCCGCTGAGAACTGATTCAGCTTGGCCAACATGCAGGTGTAGAGCCACCAAGCTTCTGACGTCACTGCGGACGTCACCGCTCCTGGGTCAAGCTCCGCGTCGCCATCTGCAGGCCGCCGCTGCCGCTGCTGGGCCTCGCTGGCATCAGCGCCAGCGCTGCCGCCGCCGCCATCGAACTTGCGCTGGTCCCAAGTCACCTGAAGCATCCTCTTCTTAGCCAGGACAAACGGCAAAGCTTTCTGTATTGAGCCCCACCTCCACATCGCTGGCATTGGCGCCCCGGCCTCTTGCTCCGACACCATCCACGCCCAAGGGCTGCCCAAGAGGCAAGTCGCTATGTACCGCTTCCGCAAGTGCTTGTGGTGAAGCAAGGCGCACACGGCCTTGAACTTTGCCAGCCAGTCCTGGTAGGAAGCCAGCGACTCGTGAATGCTGTTGCACATGTTGTGGAAGATGCGCAACAGGCCGGGGGAAGGGAGAGCGTTTGCGAACAAGAGCGGGGGGCCTCCTGCTGCCGCGGCCTCTTCCGCCGCGGGCTCAGCGTCCAGCTCCAGTTCGGCGTCCTGCATCCACTGCGGCAGCACATCCGCAAAGCTGAAGCCTTCTGCCTGCTCAGCAAAGCCACTTTCCGTGCCAAGGTCAGTGCAGAACGCGGAAACACAGCTCAGGCAGGCCTGGGTCAAAGAGTGGCGATGGGTCTCCGCAACAAACTTCTTGACCATGCACAGCAGCTTCATGTCCAAGTTTGCAGACTGGCTGCCACTGCCCAAGGCCATGGGGATCTGCCGATGGGTCATGATGTGTTGGCTTAGAGCTTGGCAGGCGGCGTCTCTTTCTTGAACGATTTCCTCCATCCGCGCTGCCGCTGCGGCTGCCGCTGCGCGTGGGCCGCGCGGGCGCGGTTCCGGTTCCGTGTCAGCTGAAGCGGGGGCCGCCGCGCAAACAAGCTCCTGGAACTCTGTCAGAGAGCGCTCCAAGTACTCCGCAGCTTGCGCGCACGTCGCCAAGCGCCGCCCTTCGATGATGCGCATCATGGACATGAGCCAGTCAGTGCCGCCTTGCGGGGAAGAGTCCGCCCACATGTAGATGCGGCAGCTCCCCGCGCACCACGCCTCAAACTTGGTTTTGTAGTAGCTGCACAAAGCTGCATCAATCTGGATTTGCGACGCGCTGATTTGCGACGCGCTGGGCATTTTCGGGAGTGGCTTTGGGCCAAGACCGTCTAACAGCCCGGGCACGCAGCCAAGTGCATGGCGGAATGTTTCCGCTAGCTTGCTTCGGTCCCGCAAGTGCATGGCGCCGCAGAGAGCATGCAAAAGGGACTCCTTGCTGCGCCTCTGCCGCCGCTGCCCCTCGCCTTCTGCGGAGCTACCTGCTGCGCTAACAACGGCGTCCAGCCGCATGACGTTCTCCTCCAAAAACAGCTGGCACTGTTCGCGGCTCTCTTCGTCGTCTGCTAGCTTCAGAATGGCGCCAGACCACTGGCGCAAGAATTCTGAGAGCTTCTGCGCGTGCGCGGCTTGAAATTTCAAGTCTGCTTCCGGGCCAGCGCCCGCCGCTTCTCCAGCTAGGGCAGCGGCCGCCGCCGCGCTGCGCTGGTCTTGCTCGAACTTGTGCGACCGCTCTGCCCAGGGCAGGGGCGGAAAGTCGCCCAGCTCCTGCTGAAACAACTTCTTCCGCGCAAGAAGGTCAGCCGCGGCCTGCTGGCCGCCCTGGCCGCGGCCAATGCGTCTGACAAAATCGGACCCCTTAAGCACCAGCGTGCTCCAGCATCCTCGCAAAATCAAACGAAGCGGCAGCAGAGGCACTCTCAAAGCGAGAGGCCGCCGCAAGAAGTCCGCAACTTCGTCTGAGCTTGCGCCCAGCTTCGTCCTCAGGCCCAGGCAGCTCGCGCCGCTGCGGCGGCAGAAGTCCGCAAACTCAATTTTTTCCGGCTCCCATAGCTCAGACGCAAACCGTTTGGGGCTGTGGGAGGCATACTCCCGATCGAAAGCAAGCAAGCTCTCGATCTCCAGCGAACACATTGACTGCCAAGAACTACTGTCGTCAAACAAAAGCCTGCGGAGATAATCCTCCTCCGCTGTCCACCGCGTGAGAGCCCCGCGGGCTGTCTGGCCGGCTCGAACCCGAACCAGCCCGCAAAGAGAGGAAATGCCAGGACGCTGCCGCTCAGGCTGAGGCGGCTTGGCTTCTGCCGATGCCGCTGCAGCTGCGGCTCCAAGGTCCGCTCCTCCTCCTGCTTCTCTCTGCGGCGGCCGCTGGATGTCCCTTTGCCACTGCAAGACGTGCTGCAGCCCTTGCCGCTCCGCCAGCACGTTCACCCAGCCCACTTCTGGGTGCGGCGGGCTCACGCGGCGGAGCTTCCCGCTGCCACCGCTGGCGTCGTAGTGCTTGGCAACGGACCAGCGGGCGGAAAGCAGCAGCAGCGGCATGGCAGCTGTCACAACTCACAGTCACTAACTCACACGCTGATCTGAATTGCTTGAGTGCATGTCTGACATGTGTGTCTTGCGAGTCTCGAGTCTGTCTCAAGCTTCAAACTCTGAACCCACTGAAACTGAAACACACTGTGAAGGGGAACTGCGTTCAGCGCGACAAAGAAATCAAAATCCTTCATCGTGCGGGGCCGAATTGCGCGAGTCAGCCGCTGGCGCCACACGTTTGCCTGCAAGCCCCCGCGTTTCGGCTGAGTCAAGCGTTCGTGCAGCTCTTCCACGCTTTTCTCACAAAATTTGCTAGAGTCCTGCCTGTTGGTAGCGCAACTGGCTACAAAATCCGCGAACGCCTTCAGCAATAACTAAATCTGACGCTTTAGCTTAGTTACGCTGGGAAACAAGGCGCGCACCGAATCTAATATACTCGGGGAGCGCCCGTGCTGGAGCGGCTGCTGGCTGACGGGGTCGCCGGCAGGTTCCCGGCGGAGGAGGTCGACATGCAGGACTGGAGGGACATGCTGAAGCGCGCCCAAGAGCTTCGGCTCAAGCTTCGCAAGCGCCTCAACCAGCGCACGGCCCGCTGCTCCGCTCCCGCGGTGGCCGAGGAGCGCCAGGAGAAGAGCTGCGAGACGCTCCGCGAGAAGCGCGAGGCCCTGAGGCAGCGCCGCATTCGCACGAGCGACATCGCCTTGCTGGCGCAGATCGAGAGAGAGCTCTACGAGGTGGAGGAGCAGCTCGTCAGCAAGAAGATCGCTGAGCGGCTGCCGGTCTGCGGCCAAGAGCGCAACCCTCGCCGCCTTGGAGCGGGTTGAGAAGGCGCGCAAGGAGCTGGACGAGGCCTCCAGAGAGCTCCTCACTGCGCTGAACCTGCAGGGCAGCAGCACCGACTCGCTGTGACGCGGTAGAATCCGGGACAGAACAGAAGCCAGGACAGAACGTGACAGAAAAAAAAAAAAAGCGCTCGTCCGACCGACTGAATATTTTATTATTTTTCTATAGAAAGCAATTTATTCAGCTCAAACCAATTCGCGCCATGATCTCCGAGCTGTCTGACCGCATCTGGGGCCGCCTGGGGCTCAGCGTCGTCCGGGCGGTGCCTCTGGAGGAGCCGCGCGCTCCTAGCGCCGAGGCCGCTGTGAGCGAACTGCGCCCGCGCAGGGCCGCTTGGACCCGCGAGCTGCGGCTGCGCCCTCTTCCTGGGCAGCAGGTCTTCACCATCGATGCCATGCGGCTGCTGGTGGACCGGCTCCAAGACCTGCTGGCAATTCGGCTGCCCTTCCTCGCCAAGAGGCCCGCGCCTCCGTCGGCCCGCGCCTCCGTCGGCCCGCGCCGGAACCAGGATGGCGGCCATCAGGACAAAGTTCGAGGTCGCGCTCGAGCGCTCCCGCTTCCCCGAGTCCGACTGGACCGTCGTGGGCATCACGGCCGCGTATTTGCTGACCGCGCAGCAGCTGGCCGACATGCCCGCGCCCCCGCCGCCCAACGAGGCGGGAGGCTGCTGGAAGGAGCCCGAGACCCTGGCCAAGAAGAAGGCCATCTGGAACCCTCGGAACGAGGACCACCGCTGCTTCATGTGGTGCGTCCTCGCCCACTTTGGGGTCACCTGGCAGGAACGGTCAAGGACCACAAGCTGCTCGGGCTCCTTCTTCTACCCGAGCTGGCCGGCCGCCGAGCCGCGAGACTCCCATTCACCTCATCACCGACGAGCAGGCCTACGCGGACGTGCGGTCCTCTGTCATGGGTGGGCTGAGCTGCATGTTCCAGCCCTTCGCTCAAGCCAACAACCCCGAGCTGGGCGAGGAGGACTACAACCCCGAGGAGCCCGTCAGCTGGATCTCGTACTTGGACTTCAACGCCATGTGCCCGGCCGCAATGACGCTGCCCATGCCCAACGGCCCCTGCGCGACGGTCGCCCTGCCGGAAGAAAACGCAGCAAGGCTGCACGAGACGTGCCTCTCGCGGCTGAACTGGGAGTCCGACTCCAAGGAGGTGAGCTACCTGCTCCTCGTGGACTACGACTTTCCCCCGGAGGTGCATGACCACTTGGACTGGGCTCCCCCCGCGCGCATGAAGGTCGGGAAGGGCCTGTACGGGCCGCGCACCGCGGACATGGCGGAGCGCCTCGGCCTCTCCCCGCCTGCGAGAAGCTCGTGCCCTTCCTCGGCATGCACGTAGAGGAGGGCGTGGACGGCAAGCGGCTCAAGTTCCTGCGGGACGCGCTGGGCGCCAGGATCTGGAGGCTGCACAGAGCCTACCGCTTCGCCTGCAGCCCCTTCATGGCGGGCTTCATGGAGCTCAAGCACAGCGAGCGGAGGCAGCTGAAGACGGCGGGGAGCGTGGTCGCCGAGAAGGTGGTGAAGCTCACCATGAACCCCGACAAGTTCAGGAACACGAACGCCTACGTGGACCCGGCCAAGTTCGAGCGGGCCGTGGCCGTGACGAACTTCGAGCTCCAAATCAACGACTCGGAGGGGTTCCTGGCCTTCGTGGAGACGCTCAAGACGAACCGCAGCAAGGCCTTCATGAGCGTAGTAGTAAGGAAAGACTGCCCATAGGGACCAATTAAGTTTTGTTTTTTGGCCCCCAAACCCTGCAAAACAGCCAAATTCTCCAACCAGCTGAACGTTTTTCCGATGTCACCGGTCTTTGTCACCACTCCGTTTTTGGTGCAAAAAGCGCTGAAAACGGTCAACTCCGAAAAGCGCGTTTTTTCGTGTCAGACGTGGAAAGTGGTTCCCGAGCCTCCAAGTTCGCTCGTTTTCCGCCGAAAACCGGCTCCAGACATTCGCCGTGCTCCGAAATCCGTTTTCTGCCCCGAAAAGCCTGCGAATTCCAGAGGTCGTCGCCGCTTGTCACCGCTTTGTCACCACTCGCTTTTTGGGTGCAAAAGTGCGCAAAACCGGGCCCAGTTCCCGATCTCCTTCTCTGCAGGGTTTTTCGCAACCCGACAGCCCGCCGAGGACCAGGCTCGGAGTCCGACAGCCCGCCGAGGTGGTCCGTCAGCCCGCCGAGCTTGTCACCACTGATGTCCGCTCCATCCGGCTCCGTTTTTGGTGCAAAAAGCGCTCAAAACGGTCGAGTCCGAAGAGTCCGTTTTTCCGTGTCGGACGGCGAGTGCGATGCCTGAGCCTCCGAGCATGTCACCGCTTGTCATTCGTCACCGCTCTCTTTGGGGGCCGAAAAGTGCGCAAAAGCGGTTCCCGAGAGGACACGGTTCTTGGCAAGTTTGAGTCAATAATGGAACCGGGTGATTCATCAATGGCTCATGAATGGACAAGGTTGGCTCATGAATGGGCAAGGTTGGCTCATGAATGCCCCGCAGGTCATAACCGCTGAGACAAGTGTCCTTCGCCGGTCTCGTCATGAGGCCGAGGTGTCCCAAGCGTTTTGACCGACGCCATCGGTCAATTCATCAGAGGTCTCATAAGTGAAGGACCTCGCTTCATGCCCAGTGTCCGACGCCATCGGACACAGCGTCATTCCACACTTCGCGTACAGGTAGGGGCTGTTGCGAGATGATATATAATTATACCACCCAACGCTACGAAGGCCCCGAATGACCCATAGCGACTCAAGGGAGGGCGTGTTGTGAAAGTACAACACCCCTGCGTTACAAGCACGTAACGACTACTCCTAAGAAAACATGTTTGAAGGACCTGTCACGGGCAACATCCCGGAGGTCCTGGACAACGCACGCACGTCACAGCAGGGCAGCTGGCCCTCGCTCTGACGCCCTACGCCCAAGTAGCTGACCTGGCGGTGAACACGGCAGCCTCCGGCAACAACGCGGCTGCCATCCAGTCCCTGGACGACCGAGTCACCGCCGAGCTGGCCTCAAAGCTGGACAGCAGCGCGCTGGCGCCGGCAATCGCGCCCCTGGCCACCGGCGGCGGCCCTGGCCACCACGGACGGACAGCTGGCCGCGCACGGAAGCAGCATCGCAGCGCTGCAGAGCTCGCTGACCACGGGTGCCCCGGCGATGGTCAGCGTGGCGCCCGTGAGCGCTCCGGTGGCTGCGAAGCTCGCCGCGGTTGCTGCTCCGGCCGTCAGCGTGCCCGTGGACACGTCGCCCGCCGTGGTGCCCGTCGTGAACACGTCCGTGCAGTTCACGTCGTTGCACAGCAGCTGGTCGCAGCCCACGTTGCCCTGCGCGGTGAGCCCGTCCAGCGTGGCCGAGCCTGTGAGGGCCAGCGAGTCCGCCAGCAGGTCCGTCACGGAGACCGAGTCTCCCTCGAAGGCGCTGGCCCTGATCTGCATGCTAGGTCCAGCGCGCCCGCTGACTGCTGCACCAGCCCGGGGATCGAGCCTCCGAAGGCTCCGAAGTGCAACTTTGCGACTCCTCCTCCTGGTGGCACCGAGAAGTCCAGGCGCGCCGTGCTCCAGACACCCTGCGCGGCCGTGCCGAGGAAGGTGCCGGTGACGCCCACGTAGTCGTTGTCGGCCGCGCTGACGTACATCACCAAGTTGGAGGCGAGTAGCGTCTCCCCGGCGTCAGCGTGTAGGTGCGCACGATGTTCCAGGCGAACCCACCGTGAAGCTGGCCGAGGCCACGTGACTCCGAGCTTGCCGGCAAGGAGACCGTCCACTTGTGCGATGGTGTAGTAGCTGAGCAGGGCGGCTGCGATGCTCGAGGCCGTTGCCGTGTCCTGGTCGGCGGCTGAGCGGTACGCCACCAGCGCCGAGGTGATTTGGTTGGTTGTGAACACGTCCTGGTCCGGGCCCGTCCGGTAGGCCAGCAGCGCGCCCGTGATGGCCGCCTGCGTCTGCGTGTCCTGCGCGCTCGCCGTGCAGTAGTCTCCCAAAACCCGCGTCTACCTGCACCGAGGTGTAGTAGGCCAGCAGCACGGCACTTGTGAGGAGGTGTAGTAGGCCGTGGCAGCAGACGACCTTTCTTGGCCCTGATAAGCCCTGGAATGGAAGACGATGTTTACTGGTTGAGCCTCGTGACGGCAACTGCAACATTTGGGATTCTGGTTTGGCGACTGATCACAACAGCC